CGGATATAAAACCGATCTATCGAATCTGCAATACTCACATTGTCTGTACAAATGCATAGGGAACAAAAGTATTCAACTACCAATAGAATTTCTACAACCAAAATAGTTTGTTCTTAAGTGATCGAATATTTTTCACTAAAGTGTATGTACATACATATGTACATACAATAATGCTACTATCAACCTAGGCACAACCGAATATTATTAAATAAATTTAGATTTAAATCCAATATATATTTTTATTAATTAAATTTAATCTGAATCGAAAAACAAAATCTAATTCCAAACTCTACGGATATGTTTTCAATCTGGAGTGAATTCCTAAATAATGATGTGAGTATATAAAATTTTTGCATATTTGAATAATCATATGATTTATATAAATTATTATAGAATATTACTAGCAATAACTAGTGATAATCATCAATTACACAAGATTAGTATAAAAAAATTTTTTCTTTATTCTGTTTTATACTTTCATACTTGAATTTTTTTTTTTAAGTACTTTTTTTTCATGATTCTCATTGTTTAAGTTATCCATTTCGCATCTATATGGTGCTTCTTCACCTTTGAAGTCATCTGTCCATCCTGGTGTATTTGTATTTTGTTTGTTTTCCTGTTTATAATCTTTGTATTTTGATTTCAGGGTTTTCAGATGCTTTTTTTCATGTTTCTTGTAGTTGGAGTCATCTATTTTGGTGCTTTATCTTTGGGTCTTTCTGGAGGTTTTTCTTTCATTGTCCATTTTGGTACTTCTTCATTCTTGGGTTTTTTAGAGATTTTTTTGTTGCTGGGGTCTCCATTCTGGTGCTTTTATAGCTTAGTGTTATTTTTTTTCTTGTGTACTAATGTTTGTATTTGATTTTAGGTTTTGAGACATTTTTATTATAGGCTCTTGTCGATAGAGTCATCCATTCCAGTTAGGGTGCAGAGAAAAAAGCCTGGTAAGCCCGATTGATTTTGAAGGCTATAAAAATAATAATACATGATTGGTGCTTAAGCCAAAATTAAAATATATAATTATTATGATAAACTCACTTTCAGCAAATAGGTTCCATTTGTATCTCTCATGTGTTTGCTGCCAGCAGTAAGTCTTTAAAGTCAGGTGAATCAGGCCTAGGCCCAACCTAACCTGGCCTGATTCATCTAACTTTGAAGACTTGCTACTTGAAGCAGAAACATGAGAGATACAAATAGAACCCATTTTCTAAAAGTGAATTTATTATACTAATTATACAAATTTCGGCTTAAGCACTAACCATGTAACATTGTGTTTATAGCCTTCAAAAATTCTAAAATAAACTGGACTTTTTTCCCACTTCCTAATTCTAGTGCTTCATCATTGGGGTCTTTCTGGGGTTTTTTCATCACTGGAGTTGTTCTTTCTAGTGCTTTTATATTTTGTGTATTTGGTTTACTTGTATACTAATGTTTGTATGCTTTTTATGTGGGTTTACACAGATGAAGTTGTCTATACTGGTGCTTCTTTCACCTCTGGAATTATGCTTTTTCTTCGTTCACATTGAAATTGTCTATTTCAATACTTTTTTCATTTGACATGGGTGAACATTTCTTTAATTTTGGTGTCATCCAATTTGGTACTTCATTGTTGCTAATATTATATAATTAGGTTATATGGGTATATTATTTGGTATTTTTGATATCGCTATATTGGATTATATAAAGGTATGCCTAATAGTTAGGGTTAGGGTAAGTTTGAATATAGTTGAGGGTTAGTGTATGTATTTAGAATATGGAAGCGAAGCAGTGATAGCTGAAACGAAGTGATGTAATTTGTAGTAGAAAGTATTAAATAAATATTTATGACATATATAGTGTTTATATTTTGCACTTAATAATAAATTAATATAAATTAATATATATGTATTATAATGTATTAGTATTTGATATCAAATATCAGATATGGGACTCTGCATAGCAAAACAGTACATTGGGCCAACCAATCAGATTTTGAGATTTTATAATAATAATCTGTTAATATATTGTATCTTTCTAAAAATATTAT